GATGCTTTCTAATATAAATGACTCCGAAAAACGTTCTTCTCTATCGTTTGGATATTTAGATAACCAGTGCTTTACAGCTGTTAATCCTAAAACATGTGGTAGATAAGAATAAAGGTTTGTAACATCGAAAGTAACTAGGATAGCGTTTTGTGGGACATTTTGGGGTAAGTTATTCAAATAATCTACGCTATCTCGAGTATAACTTTTGACATGTTTAATATAAGGTTGAAGTATGATGTCTATCAAATTGCTTAAACGATGAGTTTCACATGCTGGACCTGCTATAATTGGTCGGAGTTTCAAATCTTGAGGATGATTTACTTCAATATATGTCGAATTTTGGTTTACACATGCTGTGTGTATTTCTTTACATTTGTGAATCTTGGGTAAACCATAAATATTACTGGTTTTCACATTAAACTCTTGTAAGTATTTGATTTCTTTCTCCGTTAAACAGGAACTATGTGTCGATATCAGTCGACGTAGTGCGGTCATATTTCTGGATAGTGGCGGAGAGTTTAATTTTTGATAGTAGTTGGTATCGTTCAATATGTCTAATACCATTCTTTTATAGTTCTCAGATTCCAAAATGACTGTTGCACCACCATTATCTGCTTGTTTTATCACTATGGATTCATCTTTTGATAGAGTTAGTATCTCCTTCCAATGTTTTTTAGCTGTATTTTTACGTATTTTTATGTGCTCGTTTGGTATTACCGGAAAATTTGATATTTGTTGACAAAAATCATCTAATGCTTTATTACGACCTTTTGGTGCTCCCCAATCACTTTTATTTCGTACGATGGATTTATCGTTATTTTCACTACCATTAAAATATATATATATATATATTCCATTAACAAAAATTTAAATTTGTTACGTATCATTTCATTTTTGGCACTTTGGTATTTAAAAAATAAACTTAATAAAATCTGCAATAAAAATTGAAACATATTTCATAGTTAGGACTTTAGTATATTAAAATTAAAATATAAATTAAAATGACTGTAACAGTATGATAATGAGTACGATAATGACAGGTAAAACAATTTCATTGTAAATTATATCCATCAAAGTTAACTTGAAATTTATGGTGATTTCTTCTCGATATGATTGGGAATGGCAACACTTTAAGGATATCAGCCCACTTAATAGTATCAATGTCTTCTTTTATTAATGTTATCATATTCTGTAAGTTTCATGGAAATCGGTTGATAATTGTGGTCTGTAGCCGTGCCACATGAAATGCGTGGTAACCTGATATCTCGGAAACCGCGAACCGGAAGTGGTCGAAATTTTGCCCACTCTGAGATATTATTAATGATATCATATTCAGTAAGTTTCATGGAAATCGGTTGATAATTGTGGTCTGTAGCCATGCCACATGAAATGTGTGGTAACCTGATATCTCGGAAACCGCTAACCGGAAGTGGTCGAAATCTTGGCTACTCTGAGATATTATTAATGTTATCATATTCTGTAAGTTTCATGCAAATCGGTTGATAATTGTGGTCTGTAGCCGTGCCATATGAAATGTGTGGTAACCTGATATCTCCAAAACCGCTAACCGGAAGTGGTCGAAATTTTGCCTACGTTGAGATATTATTAATGTTATCGTATTCTGTAAGTTTCATGGATATCGGTTGATAATTGTGGTCTGTAGCCGTGCCACATGAAATTATAATCTACAAGTTTCATTGAAATCGGTTGGTAATTGCGGTCTGTAGCCGTGCCACATGAAATGTGTGGTAACCTGATATCTCGGAAACCGCTAACCGGAAGTGGTCGAAATTTTGGCTACTCTGAGATATTATTAATGTTACCATATTCTGTAAGTTTCATGGATATCGATTGATAATTGCGGTCTGTAGCCGTGCATCATGAAATGTTTGGTAACCTGATATCTCCGAAACCGCTAACTGGAATAGGTCGAAATTGTACCTACTCTGAGATATTATTAATGTTATCGTTATCTGTAAGTTTCATTGAAATCGGTTGATAATTGCGGTACGGAGACTTGCCATATGTGGCAAATAATCTCCGGATTGTCTTACCACATGTGGCAAATAGCCCCAGCCTATTGCCAGCGAGGGTGAGAATGTACTACCCATTGCACAGCCAATAAGTTTTTTATAATAGTTAGAATAAAAATAAAAACAGTTGTTTTCTAATATAAAGTCGATGCTTTCTAATATAAACGACTCCGAAAAACGTTCTTCTTTATTGCCTCGTGGGTTTTCTCCGGGCCCTCCGGTTTCCTCCCACTGCTAAAGACCCCTACGCGCAAGCGAATTATTGAAATAAAATTAAACCATATGTTAGTCCAGAAATGACCTAGTTTGTGCCGAGTGGACGTTAGACCCCATCTCTCTCCCCCTCTCTCTCTCTCTCTCTTCTCTATTGTTTAGATATTTAAATAACCAATGCTTTACAGCTGTTAGTCCTAAAACATGTGGTATATTCGAATAAAGGTTTGTTACATCGAAAGTAACTAGGATAACGTTTGGTGGGACAATTTTCAATGGAAACTAGTACAGATAGAATACCATTTTGAAACATAATGGTAATAAAAAAACGGGGACATTATTATTGAATCTGATATATATTATAAGGACACTAAACAGTATCTCGAATTCAATTCGTGTCACCCTAAACACATAAAAACGGCTGTACCATATAATTTGGCTAGGCGTATCTATACCATTGTGTCTAACGCAGTAACTAAATTTCAAAGACTAGGGGAATTGAGAGAATTTCTGTTAGCCCGCAAATATCCCTCCACATTAATTAATGACTTAATTCAAAGGGCTAGTAAAGATAAAAGATACAAATCACAATATAATTGCATTTGTCACCACCTTTAATCCTCACAATCCTAATTTTCCAGCGTAATTAAAAGACATTTTCCACTACTTCAACAAGATAAAAAAAAATTGAAAAAACTTATTAATACACAAACGTTTATCCCGTAAAAAGGACGACCTAAAAACCGTAAAGCAATGTTAACTAGGGCTAAATTTGAATCCCTCAGTCCAATTAAGGAAATTGTAAAATGTGGAAGGGATAATTGCGGCACGTGTAGATATTTAATTGAAGGTAAATCATTTATATTTGACAATGGAAAAGAATTTTTTGTCAATGAGAGTATGAACTGTAGAGTAACTGATGTATTATATGTATTATATGTCATAGAATGTAGTTAAACTTATTAATACACAAACGTTTCTCCCGTCAAAAAGACAACCTAAAAACCTTAAATCACCGTTAACTATGGCTAAATATGTATCCCTCAGTCCAATTAAGGAAGTTGTAAAATGTGGAAGGGATAATTGCGGCACGTGTAGATATTTAATTGAAGGTAAATCATTTATATTTGACAATGGAAAATAATTTTTTGTCAATGAAAGTATGAACGCTTAATAGACAACATATCAGGGAACCAAATTTAAAGGAGCTAAATCTCTAATATTTTGGGCCTAGAAATTGGCACAAATGGGTCGCAACACATATAATAATGTAATATGAATTTATATAAACTGTTTTACATTCAATCGTTTCCGTTTTACTGTTAATTGTCATCAGTTATGTTCGGCAAAATACGCCAGAAGTCTCAACCGAAAGACAGTTTCTAGCGACTGGTTATTCCAGTCAACACCGATAGTATATATTGCACATGCTCTCCAAATAAGAATATGGCATCACCGTTTGACATGACTTGTGGAATATGTCTAGCCTCATTCTTTGAGCACCTTGTTACAAATGGCGCTGAAACGCATTATGGTACACGATTCGTGTACCAATGGTAAAATGTTTATTTTGTCTTAAATATTGGATATCAGAAGCCCATCTTTTCCAGGTAAGACCACAACACCAATGCTGATTTAAATTGCAAAAAAAAATCGTGTTTTCAATGTTAAAGATTTTGGATGATATTGAGTTACGGACTTAGCTACTTTAAGGATGATCCCTTTAAGTGAGCACCTTGATATCTGCGATAAAGGCGAGTTCAAAATATACCCTTTCTTTAAGTTGCCGTATTCAGACCCCATGAAAATGAGATCGAAGGAACAATATTATATTGACAAATTTAAACCCAAACTAAACATTTTAGATAGAAAAAAGAAAAGAGTAAATTGAAATTTCTTAAAGAAACGAAAAATCAATATAAAAGTCGCTATTCTACATAAACTTGAAGACTAAATTGGGTTAAGATGTCTTAGCATGCTGTTAACTCTCAAGTCAAATTAAAGTAGATTGTCTTTAGGAAATAAATTTGTAACTGTATTCAACAAGGTTCAGCCATCTGTTTAGTCAAATAATACACGTGGAGTGATTACAAGGTTTCTATGGAAGGGATTGAGGTCAGCATCGTGACTAATCAAACAATCCCAGCAATAACTATGTTAATAATGTGCACGTCTGAATGTTAAAAGGTTTCAATTCGCCCGGCCAGTTTAAAATAAACTCTACAATAGCTAACCGGTAGAGAGATTACAATATTTCAGTACAAAAGCAATAACTCCTGTTATATACTACTGGGGTTTTTAATCATTTTGGAAACCAGTTAGGGCTTGTCATTCAGCCCATCTGGCAGGCATATTTTTCATCTTGATCTTTGGGGTTAATTTTGGCATCTGGTGCATTATATTTCAATGTTATAACGCCTTTTCATAAACTTTGACATTTGGAATTGTCTTTTTTGTTACGTTTCAAACAAACAACATTTATATCACGAACAAATTTTATATTGTGAAACAATAAATGAATAATAACATTGTTTAAAATGGCAAAGTCAAAAAAATGTGATTTTCTTTCACTTCAAAACATTCCATGTAAACGACACTGGTCATTATATAATAATATAAGCTCAAAAGAAGATAGTGACACATTTTTTATTTCAGATTAAATGTTTGCGCCGAGTTATTATCTGTTACTATGTAAGTAATGAGAGTGCCAAAACGTGAGATTGTATTTAGTTTGTTGTTTTTTTATCATTTCAGGTGGCTTCGGGTCAGTTTTGACAAAGGTAGTGTGCATGTGTCCAACTAGTTTTATTGGAAGATGGATCTGGATGAAGAGGTAGACTATTGCCCTTTCCGGCGATTCACCCGTGAATCACTGTTTAATATCGAACGGCGGATTGCAGAAGAAAAGGCCGTCAAGCAAACAGAGAAAGCTCCAGCTGAGACTGATTCGTCTGACGACGAAGGTGACGAACCCAGTCACCATGAACCCGAACTTAAACCAAACCCGAAGCTGGAAGCCGGTCGGAAATTGCCGCCATCGCTTGAAGATTTTCCCGCACATTTGACAGGCCGACCCGTAGAAGATCTAGATGAATATTATCATAATCAGCTTGTACGTATTTACTTACCTAAACAATTTTTTCTACAGCTATGCCTTAACTGATTTCTAACCCACATAGAATGTGAGTGAAATGAAATGGAGTTTAACGTCCGATTGGGCTATTGACGACGGGCATACGCCACACGGTGTGCTATGGAGGAAATTTTGCGCGAATGGCGGCGTTACGGCATATCGAATTCCAACTCTCGGGGGGTATTTTATGTGCACCCCAACGTGTACACCGGACCTCCTTTTTTATCCTATCCGTTGTTCCTTGTCAGGCCCTATGTCCTGCAATACTGATAAGGGGTGGGGTGGGGGAGAATGAATTTTCTCAGCCAACACCGTTATCAAACACGAGACATCCAAGTTAGCGAGCCAACGTCTCACCAAGCCACCGCGGCTCCCATAATTTGAGTGTTGGAAAGGTTGTAGAATCTAAAGTATGTTCAAAGTATATAAATTTGCTAAAAGACTGGTTTAAGTTATCTGCATACTTTTTTTTCAGACGTTTGTTGTGGTGGGGAAAGATAAAACATTATACCGGTTTTCAGCTACTGATGCAATGTTTGTGCTTAGCCCTTTTAATATATTACGGCGGTGTGCCCTCTACGTATTAGTGCATCCATATCCTTTTTATATTTAACATAACATGTGATTCATTAGAATACCCTTGGTGAAATCCAAGAGAAATAATACAAAGGTCGGAATTGAAAAGACGGATCCTATTCCGTTTTGTTTATATACTCTTCAAAAAAAGTAGGGGATATTCAGAAACAATACAAAACTGCGGAAATGCACTGCTGTTTTTATTAGAGGTAACCAGTGTATGTTAATAACAGGCCAATTGCCTACACATGAACATAAACAGTTCATATGGGCGGCTTATCTGACGTCCCCATTTCACTCGCAAAGAGATACACAGTCAAAAGTGAAAATGGACGTTTTTGATTTCTTGTCTTAATAATGAGTAATTACTCCACCAATCCCCAGACATTCAGCAATTCGTCGTGGCATGCTCCTAATCAACCGTCCAATCACGACTTGGGGCAATCTGACCCACTCCTCTTGCAGTGCCACGGCCAATTCTTGCAGTGTTGTCTGTTGACGTTGAAGTCGACGAACACGTCTCCCGATCATGTTTTAGGCATGCTCTATAGGGGAAAGGTCAGGACTCATGTCTGGCCAAAGCATATGGACAATATGGTGATGCTGGAGGTAGTCATTCACGACACGAGCGCGGTGGGCACGGGCATTATCATCTTGAAAGATGAAACGTCGACCTGCACATTGAGCAAAGGGCAGAACTATCGGTGCCAGGATGTGGTCACGGTAGTACACACCAGTGACCCTTTCTTGAACAGTATGCAAGTCCGTTCTGCAAGTCATGGTGATTCCACCCCCCACACACACACCATAACAGACCCACGCCCGAATCTGTCATGCAGTCTGACGTTAACGTTTGCATGACGCTCATTTACACGCCTCCAAACACGAGCGCGCCTATCGGTGAAATCCAGAGTAAATCTGGACTCATCCGAGAACATTACACGCGCCCATCGACGATTACCCCGATTTCTATGCTGCCTACACCATTGACGCCCTGTTTGCCATGTGCTGGCGAGTTATTGGAGGCATAACACGCGGTCGTCGCGCATGCAAATGGGCTGCATGTAACCGATTTCTAATCGTTTCTGGTGTAACTTCTTTTTTTGAAGAGTATATATATAGTTCACATTTCGTTTTATTTTTGTCTTCACGACAGCAGGAGCGGTGGGGGTGGAGTGGGGTTCAATGTGCGCCGAATTTTGAGAGTAATCAGTAGAGGGATAGAGATCAGAACAAGAAAAAAGAATTGTCACTTTTTGTACCGATGTATACTAAATGCAATATAATTGCCGCCATTGCAATTCAGTTATTTATTTTCCTAATAATATTTAAGAAATATTTTAGAATTAAATTTACAGAAAATAAAAGGTTAATATTGAAGTCTCATTAAATTGTCCCTACTTCATCCCTGTCGGTGGGGAGGGGAGGGGGGGAGGGCGCGAATGGTTAACGCGTGCGCGTTGCATCATAAGGTATGTCATTGAGTCAGGTGGCGTGGTTTCGATTCCCCGCCTGTACGTGGCAAGGAGTAGGATCGCCTGCCCAATCTCGTGGGTTTTCTCCGGGTTCTCCGGTTTCCTCCCACTGCTAAAGACCCCTACGCGCAAGCATATTAATGAAATAAAATAGAACCATATTGGACGTTAAACCCTTAACTCTCACTCTCATCCCTGTCGATGATAGTAGTGACTGTGCGAATGTATATGCGGGTCAGTGTTGCTGTTTTGAGTGACAAAAACAAAACGAAATTTAGATCTGAATTTTAATGAGAATTGAATTCAGCTAATTATTCCAGTAAAAATAAAAGCATCATGTCGTTTGAAACAAATAATGTTATATAATCCTAATAAGACAAATAGAAGTAGATTTCACAAATTAAAAACACTTATATGGATATACTACTTTTGAATTTATTAACATGCTACGTTTCGATACACATACAGATATTATTGTTTGCTTGATAACAATATCTGTATGTGTATCGAAACGATGCATGTTAATAAATTCAGAAGTAGTATATCGATATAAGTGTGTTTAATAATAATTTAATATAATAATTTGTTGTCCTTGACAGTTTATACATTATTTAGTGTTTTAGTCATGTTGACAATTTTAGTAAACTGTGTATTTATGACCCAGACAGAATCCCCAGAGGCTTATGTCGAGTAAGTAAAATCTATCATTAATGATTAATCTTTTAAATATGTATTAGGTATTTACAATATACAGCATTTACAAGGTCGTCCAATAATTTTATAACACAAAACGAGCTACGACGAGGTTAACCTTGTAAATTGTCTCCCTTTGATTGGGAACGATTTGACCTTTCGCAGTAAATCTATGTTTTATAAAATTCAACTTTTACTACAGACGTATCAAAAATACTCTGATGCTTGAATGATCGGTAGATTAAGGAATCAAATCAATTTATAACACGGCAACTCTAAAATAACTACAATTGAAGAGTTATTTCCCCTTTCCTCGCGTTCTTGTTGGTGTATAAATGAATTGCCCTAAGTATATTGCAATAATTTCATCCTTTTTATTTCAGACAAATATTCACAGGAATATACACCGTAGAGGCTGTTGTGAAGATTCTTTCTCGGGGATTTATATTAAAGCCATTTACTTACCTTCGAGACCCTTGGAATTGGCTTGATTTTTTTGTAATTTCTATAGCGTATGTAAAAAATTGTTTTATATAATGAACTTAATACTGATACAAATACTGATAATGCATGGAACACAACTGTGACTTGAGGATAATTAAAGAGTATAACTATTTATTGTTTTTGCCTGTCAAGCTGATTAATCAGAAGAATAAGAATTGGGAAAGTGTTAAGAGCATTGATTATTAATGATAAAGATAAAGAGTTGACCGTTCTTGCTGTAATGAAAGATAATGAAAAACAAATATATTGAAAATTTCATTCAAATTATATTATTTGGAGCGCAGTTATGCCTGGTTGAAGTTGTGTAGCGTAGATTGTTTATTATCGTAGCAACGGTACTTGACTTGACTAAGTCTTGATTATCAATTTTATCGTTAAATCTCGCGGGTGTTCAAAACACATTTAAATCTCGGTCATCCGATGCTCAAGAGGGTTGAATAATTGTGAATAAATGTCTAAACGATAGTTTGTATAACAGCTGAAGCCAAAATAAAGACCTGCAATAGGCAGATTTAGCTCTTACATCTTTAATGTCTTTTATTTTATACCGCACAAAATGTAATCTAACGTAAAATGAATGTTACTGAATATCGCTTTCTATTTACTAGATATTTGACATTGGTAGTGTCGGAATTAGGAAACTTGTCAGCTTTAAGAACCTTTAGGGTGCTAAGAGCTCTAAAAACAGTAGCTGTAATACCAGGTAAACATAATATTAATCTTATATAGACAAACGATCATAAGAATGGATACTATATACTCATATTAAAGCAATCTTCTTCTATCCTCATACTTGACTTTATCTTTAGTATTTTATGAGTAGGAAAAGTTCAGAAGGTAAGAGCCCCTTTTGTGGGTATATTTTCCGAATCTTCAAAGGTTCTTGTTTTTGAGAATTGTCACACAGATTTCCTCCCTAAAATACATTATTTTATATATACTAAACAGCCAAAAAGAAAAAAAAAACAAAAACGTCAGTACGATTTCAAAATCAGAGAGGCACTTTAATCAAATCATTCTAGAAAACGACATACTAAATGGATCAAAGCAATTTTTTGTGAATAGTATATTGACACATTAGTGATTAATTCACCACAATTCCAAGACATTAATAGACGGTTTAGAGTCTGTACATAGTCTATACATCAGTATCTGGTGTGTCCACCGCGAGTGTCAATAACAGCAGCGCAGCGTCTGTACATGGAGTGGACCAGACGATTGATGAACGTCATTGGCACCTGGAACCACACTCTCAGAAAAGCTTGGCGAAATCCATCGGCTGTGTTTGGTCTCGGTACGACGTTATTAAGTCTCCTCTGAATTTCATCCCAAAGATGTTCAATCGGGTTTAAGTCCGGACTAAGGGCTGGCCAGTGCATAACGTTGACACCGTTCTGCTGTAGAAAGTCCCGAGTAACTTTGGTGGTGTGGGCACCTCTCCCTGGACCACCACAGGACCCACTCTCTGGTTCAGGCCGATTCCACCCCAAACCATTATGCTTGGACCTCCCCATGAGTCTCGTTCCATGACACATTGGTCAGAATAACGCTGGCCACGTCGACGCCATATTCTGATCCTGCCATCTGCAGTTGATACTCAATATCAATATGGGCAAACTGTAGACGTTCACGTCGATGGCGAGGGGTGAGGATCGGTCCACGGTAAGGTCTACGGCAATGGATGTTCTCTCTCGCGAGACGTCGGCGCACTGTATCGGTACTAATGGGTCTTCCGTGTGTTCCCGCTGTCTGACGTTCTGCCTCAGATGCCCGTGTGAAGGGATTCTGCACGTGCTGTTGCACAACATGGCGGTCTTGTCGCCTTGTGGTAACCCTTGGTCTACCAGTTCGGAGACGATCACCGTGGTGTTGGGGCCCGAAAGCATTGCTGAAGCCTGTAGATGGTCCGAACATTGACCTGGAAGTGATTGGCAAGGGCATGGGCAGTGTGAAAATCATGGAGAACACATTACCATCTCAGAAGTCAGGTTGCGTTTTTGAGAACATTTTCTGGGTTCAATTCTGTGTTTGGGAAGGGGCCTAATTGCTCAGGTAAAGTTGGAGATGTGGTCACAAATATAAAATAAAACATCTGGCCAGTTTTATGCAATGCGTCTATTCAGACTAAAATACCAATATGACGTTTCTTTTGCTGCTTAGTATATTAAATATCTGCCTTTCACAAATAAGTATCCCAGATCGTTCTACGACTTTTAATATTACCTACCGATATGTCGGCGAACAATTTAGAAATGTCAAACTTTTCGTGCATATCTTTAGGTAGATAAGTCGTTTAGACGTCCGAGATGCATCTGTGGAAAGGTAAATGAAGAAGATTTCAAAGCAATTTTATTACAATACACTT